ATGAATTTATTATGAATTTATTTTGAATATCAGATGAATATATATATATATATATATATATTATTATCCTTACTAACCTTCTATAAATTTTGCGACGTTTTGTCTTATATGAGGTATACCTTGAGAATGAGAATAGGCACCTATATTTTCTATCTGTTTTAATAATAATCCTGCTCGTTCAATTGCATCTGAAGGAAATAAAACTTCAACTTTATCACGATTCTGTGGCAATAAAAGGTCAGTATATTCTAATAGAGAAAGGACCTTATTTTGAAAAAAAAAAGATGGCGATAATTGTGAATATGATTTTATGATAAAACAAGAATAAAATTATTGTTATTCAATTGATTGCTGATTAATCAATCAAACAATTGGCCAATAATTACCTGTCGAAAGAATGTGATTGGTTTTTGTAAAAGTTGTTGTGGATTACCAATATTACAATTTACAACTTCTGTAAAATTGTATTTACTTTTAGTATGTTTCTTAGATAATTGATCTCTAATTTTTTCTGCTCGAGTTGCTAATTCTCCACGAACAGCATAATCTACCTTCTTAACAAGAGGGTTTATATTTTCATACGTAAGTATTTTTGATCTCTTGACACCTACTTTTATTATATGGTATCAATTGAAGGAATTTAGATTAACTTAAAATTAAAAAGAAACAAATGAGAAAAAAGAGGGAATAAAACTCACTTAAAAAATAAATTTGATTTAAAGCCAAATTTAGCTAATTATCATCAATCAATTAAAACAAACTAACCTGACTTATTAGTAGTTCGTTGTGAGTAATTTGCAATGGACATTTTAAATTTTAAAGTTTTTTTATAATAAAAATTTTTACAAAAACAATTTATTGTTGATGATGATGTTGTTGCTTTTATTGATTTATTATGATTATAAAAAATTAAATTAAAGTGTATTGAAGGATTTAATAAAGTTTTACAAGTATTTTGAAACATTATTATATATCGTATCGAGTATATTAATTACCGATTAACTTATAAAAAAACCAGTTAAATAAAAACGCGATAAATTAAAAAAATAATCATCTTAGATTAAACATTATTGATTAAATTAGTGCGATAATAATAATGATGAAAATTTTTTTTTAGATGTAAATTTTCCTGCCGCATCCGCTGTATTAAACAAGTAAAATGTTATTGGAAGAGATATGCCGCGT